GGGGTGTCCTGGGTCAGTTTCTGCCTAAGAGGTAATTTTTAAGTTTATATAAATGTGTTTTGAAAGGCCTTCCAACAATCAAGAAAAACTTTAGCACACCCTTTATTGTGCCCAATGAAGCGTTGTAGTTAACAGTAAATGGTCAGGGTAAAGGGGAGCGGTCGGGGATTTTGGAGAAATCTTGCTATAAATATGTATGGGAAAACTATGTAATTCTTTTATAGTAATATATCGGGGAGTCAGAGGGGGGTCACTTCCCAGCAAGGCTATCACAGTCCCGGAGCGAATAGCAGGCGGCCTTGCCGACAAGCTAAGTGACCCAAGCTTGTTCCATGGTCGGGGGGCGTACAGTCGCGGCCTTGCCAGCTCACTGAACCGACCGGAAGCGATGCTCAAAGGTCAAGGGGCTCAGACGGGTCCTGGAGCCCCGCCGGGTCGGACTCCTCCACTGGGGCATCCACCCCTCTATGAGCCATTCACTTTGACCAGGGAAGTGTGATGTTTGAACTGTCCAGAGTCAAATGCCCACCTGCAAAGCTTAGTGTGGGGTCAGCTTTACCCAACTCAAATGAACTGATAGAGGCAGAGGTGCTTCCCAGAGGAAAATCAGGAGGCTGTTGCCGGAAGAGTCGAGGACACTTGAGTAGAGAGAAACAATAGGTATTTGTTATAGTCATTACTATCATTCCCTACCTTACGTCACACATCATTATTTGTAAAGTATTAGACTTTGCAATACCGTATACATCTATTACATAATTTAATTCTCAAAACAACACTATGAGGAGTCTTTTTATAATTTTTAAAAATTTCCCAGAAGGTGCGTACACTCACTGGAAATGGGACGAGGGGTGGAGAGAGAGAGAGAGGGAGAGAGAGAAAGTGAGACAGTACCTCTCCCAGGGGAATGATCATGCTACAACTCCTTCTTCTCCATTTCTACTTTCTGTCTGGATTTTGGGCACACATGCAAATGTGTTGAGCGTGTTTCCCAAGCCTACGGATCTGGGACTTGAACTATACAGTTGGCCTTGTTAACCAACCAGCTTAACTATCCAGCCACCTTAACCACCCGGCCACAGGCTGACCCCTTATTACATTGGGTCATCAAGAAAGTCATGATGCATTTTTGCGTAGAAAAATATGTCATGACTTTCCCACTGACCTAATAGTTTATAATTAAATCAATCAAAGGTCAAAGAGGTTCTGCCTAATGCCACACAGTGGGACTTCAACAAAGATCTGATGCTAAATCTAGTGGATTTTCTTTTGCTGTCTATTACTGCCTCAAACAGGAAATGGGGGGAAGTTTGGGGGGAATGTAAGAAGGAAGCAAAAGGAAAGGACAACTGAATGGGACTAGAAATTGCAAACCAAAGAGAGAGCAAAGAAAAAGCAACATTTCCCAAGAGGCCTAGATATACCGAATTCCCCATCTCACCTCACCTCCTTTCCATTTCCCACACAAACACCCCAACCTATAAAAATGTCAAATGTTCACTTTTTTAAGTTTTTGTCTTAGTGTGGATGTGCTCGCCAGAGAGAGACAGAGACAAGGAGAGGGAAAGTGTGAAATCACCCACAGCGGGGATAGCCATGCTGCAATCCCTTCTCCATTCTCCTCCTGGTATAGTGGGCACGCACGCACAATGCGTCTAGCACGATTTTCAAGCCACCAGGTCTGGGACTTGAGCCATGGACTGCCATGTGTGAGTTCATTTCCTTAACCATCACGCCATCTGCTGGTCCCTGGAATCTTCTTTAAAACAAAGAACCCTGTGGAAATCATTGAATCAGCCCCTGCCTCTTAACCATCTCCACCGTGAGACTTAATTCCGTCACAGAACCCCCTGGCAAGGAAGTTCCATGACCTCTTTAAACCTCTGTTGTAAACCACCCGCTGGCTTCAAACCATAGAGATTTGGGCCGGCTATGCATCTGGTGTGCAAAATTCCCCTGGAAAAAACTTTAAATAGTAAAACGGAACAAAATAAACACTATCTGAGAGCTTCAGTTCTCTTCTCAAAGCTTGTGTTTCTTCTCAGGGTGGTTATCCTGCTCGATCTCTCTGGGACCAATTCCATGTACATTATTCATATCCAGCACTCCCTGCGCCTGCTGTTGGAGGAGCAGTTGGCCAACAAGGACCACTTCAACCTCATCGCGTGCGTTTCTCTCAGTTCCCAGTGGGGAGGGCGGGTGTGCGTACATGCCACGTGGGCTGAGCCTCAGCGAGCTCCCAGACACAGATGTGGACACACGAGCACCCGGCATCCTAGAGGCCATCGGCTTATCCGCTTTGGATGATCTTATTTGGGGCATTGAATAATTAACTGGCTGCAGGACAGCCCCGTGGTGGCGAAGGTGATAAGTGGCCCCAAAACACTGCTTGATTACCCAGGATAGGGTAACTCAGCCCATTGCCCTATTTGGCTTCTAAACCTATAACCACAATGAGACAAGGAAAGGCCCCCACCATACCTAGTCTTAGTCCTCAGCTCGGTTCTAGCAGCCACAGTAGTTCAGACATTCAGCATTCTAATTCCAAATTCAAATACAAATTATATAGAGCTTTAGAAAACATATAAATGGTACACAGCTTTTTAAACTATATGGTTTTAAAAATGATATATAGTATATATAGTTTTAAAATGATATACAATTATTTTGAATTACACATTAGATATATTACATATTTTTTTAATTTTAAAACTTTTATTTGAGTATTATATAATTTTAAAATTATGTATATTATATGTATAATTGTATATATTACATACATGGTTTTCATTTTGTAGGTTTTTGCCATAGGGCATGTGCACTTGCTGGAGAGAGACAAAGAGAAAGTGAGACATCACACACACACACACACACACACACACGCATACACACACACCCAGGGAGGACGGCCACACTGCAATCCTTTTCCCATTCTCCTCTCCGGATTTTGGGCTCACACATACTCAGTGTAATTTTCAAGTTGCCAGGTCCAGAACTTGAACCACAGCCAGTCACGTGAGAGTCTAGCACCTTAAGCACCATGCTACCTGCTGGTCTCATACATACTTTTTTTAAACTTAAAAGCAATGTATAGAGAGCCAGCCAGGTGATGGGTGGTTAAGGCAGCTAGATCTCACATGGCCAAATGCATGATTCAAGTCTCACACCCAGCAGCTTGAAAAACACACCAAGAGGGGCCAGCAGGTGGCGTGGTGGGTGAGGTGCTAGACTCCCACGTGGTTGACCATGGTTTGAGTCCTGGACCTAGCGGCTTGCTTTCTCTCTAGCTTTCTCCCTGTCTCTCTCTTTGGTGAGTGTGCAAGCCCTAGAGCAAATTTTTTAAAAATAATAAATAAAATTAAGTAAATCTTTAAAAAAGAAAAACACATCAAGAGCACATGTGTATGTGCCCAAAATCCCAAAAGGAGAATGGAGAAGGGACTATGGCAAGGCAAACCCCCCTTAGGGGGGATGATTTCTCACTTTACCTCTCTCTGTCTCTCTCTGGTGAGCACATGTGCTCTATAGCAAAACCAAAAAAAAAAAAAAATGTTTTTAAAGGGAAATTTATGTGAGTACATGTAGAAAAATGTCCTCAATAAATAAATCCAAGTGTATGGAAACAAGAATGTTATAAAATAGTATATATATCATATGATTCCTTTTCAGTAAATAAACATATACACACATATATACATATATATAAACACATAAAAATATCCACACTTTTAACTGCCAGAGGGTGTGTGTGCTCTCCAAGAGAAACAGAGGGAGAAAACACCCCCAATGGGACATGGTCACATCACAATCCTTTTCTCCATTTCTCCACCCTGTTAGGATTTGGGACATACACATGCACCTGGTGTGTTTTTCAAGCCATGGGGACTGGAATTCAGACTGTAGTCAGCCATGTGGAATCCAGCTCCCTTCACCACTAGGTTATGAGGCTGAGCTCGATATTATTTTTATATATGGAGAGATTTTAAGAGGTAGAGAGGCTATGGAAGAGGAAGGTAGGTGTGGGTGAGGGAGTAACTATGGGGGAGAGTCTCAGAAGCATTGGCAGTGATGAGCTCAAGAGCCAGGTGGAGGAATTACTCTTGAACCAGAGAGGGGGCCCCTTGTCCACGATCAAGGAGGTGCATCTTCTTAAAGATCTTAAATTCTGTCTTATAGGGAAAACGAGATAATGTATAGTTTTTTAAGAAAAGAACCATAATATAGAGGAGGGAAATAAGCTGTGAGGGGAGCCATGTCAAGAGAGTTTTAAAAAGGACCAATTATTCACTCTTGGAAGACAGGGAAGGAGGGAGACGACATGCTTGGTTCAACGAACCAGGAAGGAACCCGACCAAAGCTGGTTCTGGCTCCACCCCTACCTGAAGTACGCTGGGATGTCACAGCAGTATGGAAACCTCATGACTGGTCCAGGCCAGTGACATTTTGGGGGTGTCCTCAGAATTTTTCACCCCAAATCTGTGAGGAGCCCAAAGAGCTGAGCCACAGAGTGGACATTGCCCTGTGTAAGTGCCCTTCATCTTTGCTCCCTTCGAAGGTTTGGAAGCACTATCGAAAGCTTTAGGCCAGAGATGGTTCCCGTGACCCAGGACAACTTACAAAGCGCCTGGCGGTAGGTGACAGCAGAGCCTTGTGCTGTGGGGTCTGGGGGCAGCCTCGCTGGGTGTGGTTTTCTCTATCTTCCCTCCACCAGGAAGTAGTTCTCAAGAATCCGTCCCCAGACATGGGCAGAAATCAGAACACGAGTGCCTCCATCTCCGTCCGCTGCCCACTGCCCTCCCCCTTGGGGCCTTGTGGATGGGCTTTCTCAGCTTCTGTCCCTGCTCCCCAGGTGGGCCCTGACCCTGCGGTGTGGGGGCAGCAGGAACGTCCTCAGCGCCCTGCGGAAGGCTGTGGAAGTGGACTTCAAGGACAAGGACAAACACCGATCGCAGGGCATCTACCTCTTCACAGGGGGCATCCCTGACCAGGACATGGTAGGTAGCCTTGATTGGGGTGTCTGTTAATCTTTGGGACCCGCCCATCTTCCCCAGGTGTGTGTTTCTCTAACATGATTTTCTAAATCAGCCAGTGCTTCTCAAGCTTTGATGTGCAGATGACACTCGGGCATGTTGTTAAAATGCAGATCCTGGTTCACTGGCTCTGGGGTGGGACCTGAGAGGAGTCTTCATGTCTTTCTTTTCCTTTTTTAAAAAAAAATTTTGCCAGAGGGTGTGGGCACTTGCCAGAGAGAGCCAGAGGAGAGGGAGAAAGCACTCCCCAATGGGGCATGGTCACACCACAACCCTTCTCTCCTAACTCCATTCTATTGCTACTGGAACATGTATGCCCATTTGCCCGGCCTGTTTCTCAGGCTGCAGGGGCTGGGATTCAAACTGTGTGATCAGTCACGTGGGATCTGACTCCCTTAACCACTCAGCCACAGGGCCGGCTCAAGGGCCTGCATGGCTAACACGCTCCAGGAATGTCCATGCTGGTGGGCCAGAGGCCACGTGTAATATAGCCAGGCTCTTGGGTCTCCCTCCTTGGACCCTCTGAGATATTCAGAGCAGTTGGGACCTAGGCTCAGCCCTTTCTGTCCTCAGTGCCAAGTACTAAGCCGGGCATGCAGTGGCCCTCAGGAGAGATCCTTAGACTGAACTGACCTGCCCAGCAGCGTCAAGGCCCTCGGCTATGGGCCCCTCCTGCCTTCTTTCCCCCACAGCCTACACTGAGCGCCTACCTGGCTGAGGCCTGTGGGGGCTGCGACCTCTCGCTGAATGTGTGTCTCTTCTACGTGGGCGAGCCACATATGGACACTACACCCCCCGCCTGCTATGCCAGCCGCACCGACACTGCTGCTGCCTACAGGGAGGTCACCCGGGCTGCTGGTGGCCGCTTCCACTGGTTCGGAGACACAGGTGTGTGCGTCTTGCCCGGTCCGTCCACCTCTTCCCTTTTGGAAGTTGTCTCAACACCAATAGAACCCCCTTGTGCCATAGAGCTATTCCAGAAGAGGGGCTTATGGAAATCACATTTTAAAATGTAAGACCACCATTCTGGGGATGAATGAGTCTACCTGATGCTACTGAACTGTGCACTTAGAAATGATTCAAATGGTAAATTTTATGGTATGTTCATCTTACCACAACTTTTTTACGAGTTTTTTATAATAAATTATTTTTGTTAAAATGATTTTTAGTTTTTTTTGCTATAGGCCATGCATGCTCATGGAGAGAGAGAAAGTGAGAAATCACCCCCTAGAGGGAATGCCACACTGCAATCCCTTCTCTTCCTGTCTCTTCTTGAGATTTTGGGCACAAATGCACATGTGCTTGGGATGATTTTCAAGTCACTTGATCCCTGACTCAAACCACACAGTCAGCTACGTGGGATCCAGTGCCTTAACCACCACACCACCTGCCAGCTCAAAAGCTTTTTTTTTTTTTTTTCAA